CATGCGTACGCTTTTATTATTTCTACTTTTGTTTATGTATAATTATACTAAAAATATAATAAATGCTTTACCTTTTATTATCGTTCTTTTCATTGAAAATACAAACGTAAGAACTATTTTAGTAACTCATTCACATTCAAATATAATTATATAACGAAATGTTATTAATTAACGAGAAAGTGTGGTATTAAATGTTACGTAATTCACCCACGCATCCATTTACGTATTAACCGGTAATGATGAAAATTAAATATAGGAAATAGAAAAGAAAAAGGAGAGGATTTGTTTAAAACTCATTTATTGAACGTGACATAAAAATTACGATACATAATAATAATAATTAATGAAAAACTGAAGTCTGTCTCGCAAGCTTCGAAACTTTCAATATATTATTTTCGTGTTTTTAATATTATTTCGTATGAGAATTCCTTATATCAAACGCTAACAAATTATTCATTTATTTTTTTATTTTTTTTTTATAATATACATATAATATCTATAAGCTACATATGTTATATATATATATATATATATATATATATATATATATATATATATATATATATACATATATAACTAATACACGTGGAATGTGCACCCGTAGGCTCGTCCATTCACTCATCGTCTAACCATAATAAAAAATTCACAGATGATAAATAGTAAGCGTTTATTAATACACTTAAATCATTTTTATTTCAGTAATAATAACACGATTATTACTGAAAAATATCAAAGCGTTTCGTTTCATCTTCAAGTTGTTCGTTGTTCTTGCTTTCTAAAAGCACAAACTCCTACCCTCTCACTTTATTATTATTTCTATTTCTCTTTTCTCACTAATCATAATTAACATAACATTTCAATTAATAATTCTCTGTATCTCACTATCGAACAATATAATAATAATAATTTACGAACAAGTCTTAGGAATTTTTTCGCAGCGCATTGACGAAGATCGATGTAACGAGTAAAAAAAAAAAAATTCTTTTTAAAGAGAAATTATTCATATACGTATAACTTATTATACACGCAATAACTTTTTATAATTTGTTTAAATATAATTATATTGTAACGAGTAATAATAATAAAGTTTTTGTAGTAAAGTTCAAACAATATAATTCGTCAATTAGTTTTAAACGAATTTATTAATAGTGGGCGATAAATGTTATAAATAAAATTAAAAAATCCTCTCTGAGTAATTTTAAAATGTCAATTATTAATCCTTGAAAATTTTTCAAGCTGAAATAGTTTTACAATTTTCGCAAAGAGTTATTTTATAAAAAGGTTTCAATAAAAAAAAGAAAAAAATGAATTTTTAAAATACGTTGAAAGATTTTCAAAAAAATGTTCAACCCACACTCAAATAGATAAATAAATAAATWAATATCAAATAAATAAATTTCAATCGATAAAAATGGAAACTCTCTAGCCACGAAGTATTCCCTTTCTTTTTTTTTTTTCTCATTTCACCAACATTCCAAATGGAGCCGAGCTTTACGGGTTAAATTGAAACGAAAAATATATGTATGTATATATAGAGAGAATTAAAATTAAATCTATAGAAATTAAGAAATGAAAAATAAAAATAAAATAAATTATAAGGAACAATATATCTGATATATTATAACGCGAGTGTTGTAATTTCGCTATAATTTTTTCTTTGTTTATAATAAATCAGCTTCGCCGCATACGCATATAAACATAGTTTATTTTGCACTATCTCGCTTTGTGTTTAAAATCCTGGGCTTTTGGCAGTGACATTCAATCGCTATGGATGAGGAGAAAATGTGTCCTTCGAGTAACGATAAACAAAGATAAATATACATGATCAAGTTTATTTCAGAACACTGGATTCTATTTTTATATTCGTCGGAATTAAAAAATCTCTTTCTTCTTTTTCTCTTTACCCTTTTTTGCGCTTTTTAACAAAAGGAGCGTAAATAATCGATTTAAAGTCCCCGACCTAATTTTTTTTTCACTCTACGAATAAAAAATAATGAAAAAAAGATGAAAGAGAACGCGCGTTGTATTGTCAAGTTCTTTTTATAAAATAATGCGCGTTTATTAATAAACGCGAAATATTTAAAAATAATAATAATTATTATTATTACATTTTTTGTTTATATATTGATGATAAATTTATAGATCATCTCGTAATAGAACAAACAATCTCCTCAACCATGCGCTAAAAATCCGCTCAAAATGTCCCGAATAAAAAATATCCAACTTATAATCCATTAAATATTAAATAGTAATTATTATAAAAGATAGTCGATCAAAGCATCGAATAATAAATTATTGTTTAACGTACATATGTATATCTCTGTATATTCGACCATATGTTTATTATTATAATTATTATTGTTATTATTATTATTATTATATTATTATTATTATAATTATTATTAATAATATTAATGTTATTATATTACGATCGCGCGAGCATTGCGATCATAGAATAAAAATGTTGATCGAGCAATAAAAAAAAAAAAACAATTTATTTATTTGTATTTATTAAACACAATTAAAATTATTATTTTCTAATAAAAATGTAAAATATATACATATATATCAGAATTACGTAACAATACTAATTTCTCACTATTTAAGATGAATAATTTTCTTAAACCGATTTATATTTGATTATTTTTCTATATTATTAATAAAAATATAGAAACGTATACCACAAAGCAAGGACGGATAATAAAAAATGAAAATGATCAAAAGGAAATAAAGCTCGATCCACTTTTTCTTCTATAATCCGAGGCCGCCGTTCAATAAATAGAACGTTTATAATACATGTCTCGTCGTTCGACTATAATTTCTAAGTTTTATTAAATACTATTATTATATTAGATTTTGTTGTTGTTGTTGTTTTTGTTTAATTTTGTTTCTGTTTAATTTTCATTTCTCTTTTCCTAATCAGTACGAATATTATTTCGACGAAGATTATCGAGACGATTGTATGAATTTGATTGAATTTGAATTTTGTTAGACACACACATACGGACAAAGATAATTGGAGAATAATTGAAAAGTTTTGTTCACATCTCGATACCAGCTCTTCGTCGCAACAGCTGCACATATCATTTTCTGATATTCTAAATAATCTTCATATATATATATATATATATATATATATATTTATACGACTATATTTTTTTTTATTATTCATCTCGTAATCATCTTGTATTATATATTTATATACATATATATATATAATACAAGATATAAATATATATATTTTTGTTTTGTTATATCTCTAAAGCAGTCTTACACGAAGCGGCAACTTTTGGAAATTATTTCGTTTTGTTTTATTTCTTTTTTTTTTTTTTTTGAATACAACTCTAATACGATCTTTCCCATTTTCCTTTTACTTCATTTTCTTATCAATTTGTCAAAACCATTTTATTATTTTGTTTTTTCTTCCATCTTCGATTTTATCTTTTCTTTTCATTTACTAATCATAATTATCCGATCTTTACGTGATTTTTTTGTTCACATTCAGGAGCAAACATGCAGGACGACGACGACTTGGATCAAATTTTCAAAATTTTCCGCACGATTACATTTATCTTGTGACTATTTTATAAGTATATTTATATATATTTATATGTATATATATAATATATTATGACGACACTCTATAAACCCTCGTTTATTTATTATAAGTCATTTTTTTCTGTTTTTTTTTTTGTATTTCTTTTCATTTTTCTTCTTTTTTATTTTGTTTTTTAATTTGGGCTGAAAAAGAGAATGACAGAGATAGATTTGAGAGAGAGAGATAGATATAGATATGAAAAATGATTCTTTGTATTTATTATTATTATTATTATTATTATTATTATTTATTCTCCTACATGAAAATTCCATGATCTTTTCATTTATTGTTTATTTATTTATTTATTATTGCAAATGTTTCGATACGTATTTTTCGGGAAAAAAGGAAAAGGTGAGAAATATTGTTTAAACTTTAAATATAAAAATGAAATTTTTAGTTAAGTTTTATTTTTAAAAATATTAAAAAATAATTCACTTAGCATAAACTATTATATGTTGTTTTACTTGATTATTTTAAAATATCGAGTATGATCAAGAATGTGGAATCACTTTGATGTAAAACGTTCGATTTAAGTTGAATTTTCAAAGGATCAAAAATACTCTTTGATCGAATGATATGAACATGTAAATAGAAAATGTTCACAACAGTTTTATTCTATGTAATATTTTTAAATATCAAAGGATTGAAAATGTATAGAAACTATTTTAATCAATTAGATTGATTTGATTTATGTCGAATATCAAAGGATCGAAAATATCACTTTGATCAATTTGATTTTCATTTCAAAATTTATTTTCTTCCAAATTAAACGTTCAAAATTAAAACAATCAAAAGAATATATTAATTTTTTTCGATTGATTAGAAGATCATGAAAATTTGTAATATGAAATAAAAAAAAAAATCGAATTGATTTATTTTTTGATTATTGAAATTAGTCTTCCTTATATATTTTCAAATAGATTTTAACACATTGACTGCCAGTTGTCACTTATGACACCGTGACACAGTGTTCGTTCTTATCAATGAGAGCCACGTGGGTCATCGGTGACCGATGTTAGGTATCAAATTAATGTGACAGACAAGGTGTTAACTTGTTAATCAACTATTCCATACTTTCTCTCTCTTCTTCTAATCTCCATTTATCGTTGCAAAATAATTCTATGCCTTATAGCTTACGTTATCACAGAGTTACACGCGGTATCATTTCATCGCTCCCAATATCTTAAGTTTTTTTTTATTTTTATTATTATTATTATTAATAATATTATTATTTATTATTATTATTATTGTTGTTGTTATTGTTGTTGCTATTGTTGTTGTTTCAATCATTCAACGTGTAATTAATTAATAAATTAATTCGTGAAAAAAAGAAATGCTCAAAAGATGTGAAAAGATAAAGAAAGAATAGAAGAAGGAAAAATAACATATAGCACGATATTATTAAAATAATAAACTTGTGTATTATTTTGATATATTGTTTAAACAAATAATAAGACACTTTTCTCGAAGAAGAAAAGCGGAAATGGACGCAGAAGACTTCGACCGTTCCCTCGACGGACAATCCATCTCGTTTCACGTTCAACGACGTTGTATTTTAACGTGCGTTTTCTTATCGTACGATCTTTTATACTGGAAAAAAAAGGAAAATAAAAGTAATAATCACACAGCAGACACAACTATTAAAACGATAGACACTAGGATTAATGTTTATCGATTTAACGATGATCGATAATCATTTTTCTTTTTTAAATGTTCTAATAATTTAAATGTTCTAATAATCATTTGTTTGTTACGTGTGTTGTGTGTGTGTGTGTGTGTCGCATGTACGATATGTTTAAAAAGAAAGAAAAAAGATACTTTAGATTTTACCGAAAAAAAAAAAATAGAATTATATACTTTCATTATTTTATGTAAATATATGTCATAAAAATAAAATTCCTAAGAGGTCGTCGATAAACGTCGTTCTGCATCCGAATTTGATTTGTTTTTTGTTTTTTTGCGACGGTCGAAGTTTCGTATTTTTCTTTATATTATCTTGAAAGAACAAAAATTAGCGTAATTATATATAGGTAACATTATTAAATAATTAAACATTTCTATAATTCTCGCCGATTAATATATAGATAATTTAATATAACATACACAAGAGAATTTATCCAAAAATGTTTTTAAATAATTTATTAAATTAATTATTATCATCTCTCTTTCTCGAGACGTTTATATTTTTTTAATTAAGGATTGATAGTTCAATTTTATGATTTGAATAACAAGATTTTACGAAAGTTTCAATAAAAAAGAAAAAATAATAATGAATTTTTTTAAATAATTAAAAACATTTTTGGTTTATTCTATATATATTTATATATGTATTTGTATATGAAAAAACAAGAGAAAGAGAGAAAGAGAGAGAGAGAGAGAGAGAGAAACAAATAAAAAAAGAAGAAAGCAAATAATCAACGAAACGCGACACGTTCACTTTTTTCTCAATTAAATTTCTACTTTTTAATTTAACGAGAGTCTTTCAAAAACTTTGGTGATCGACGCTACTACTCGTCTCAATTATTTATTTAAATATTTATTAATATTAAGTTTTATTTTGTCGTCTTCATCTTTTTCTATTATTTCTCGAAATAAAATCGAAAGTCAACGAATTCGAGGATGGTCCACTCTCGGAAGAGTTAAATTCAAAGATAACGGAAGAGAGGGGAATTAGGGGAAAGGAGGAAAAAAAGAAAAATCTATTTCTCCTCTTCACCCCCTCTCCAACCCTTTTTTCCCTTCCTTCGCTCCTTTTCTTTTTTAACAACTCTTTCTGATTCGTGTGTTTTGTGTGCAACGTTTACGTCGAACTCGACGCGACGAACGCGTCTTTTATATGAAAAATATTCTCTTCTCCTATTTTTTTTTTTTTTTATTTCTTTTTTTTTCCTAATAAAAGCCATAATTAGCATTAAGTTTACTTTATTTTGCAACTTCGTTCCGTTCTTTTAACAATGATCCACTTATTTAAAAAAGAAAAATAAAAAATAAATGAAAAAAGGGCATATTGATTAAAAAAAAATTAAATATACAGAAAGTGGATTAAAAGCTTTACGATTACTAAAAGTTAAACAAATTTTAATCTGAAAAAAAATTTATTAAAATTATTTAATAACTTTTTCTTTTCATAATCCACTTCTGTATAAATCATAAAATGTATTTTACGATTGTAGAGAAAAATATTCTACAATTTTTACACCGAGTAGATTATTTTCTCTTGTTCAAATTTTGTAATTTGGAAAAAAAGAAAAAAAAACGATGTAATCAACAATTTGAAGAAAAACAAAACAGCAGGATACAAATTTGATAAGAAAGAAATCAAAATGAACGTATAAGTGGATCATTTCTTAAACCTAATCCTGATTTTCATACGCATGAGGCACGCTTACGTCATATCGGAAATAGGCTCTAAATCGGCACGCTTATTGAACAAAATTCTTCCTCTTTTTTTAATTCAAACGCATATTTTACGCATAATTCATATTACGTGTAATTCATTCGCATCAATTAGAAGAACTTCGCCATGACCATATTTCTTTTTTCTTTCTGTCCAATTAATTAAATCCCTTACTTGGAGGAAGATATAAAAAAAACTCTTCTCTTCGATCTTAAAATCGATACTCCGCGGTTTGTCTCAAATTTGAGAAAAAAAAAAGTAAAATAAAAATGATGACCATTTGTTATATTCGAACACGTACTTTGTCAAAAACATCTTAAGTACTTAATTACAAGAAGGAACTTTTTGTTTGTTTTAAAAAAAATAATCAAACAAGCTTAAAATATAATTAATTAAAAAAAAGATTCTAAAAAAAATATATATATAATCATTTTCATTCTTATATTAATTTCATTATTTTCTTTTGTTTTAATTAATTAATTCAGTAAAAAGAAGAAAAAAAGATTTGACTATTTTTGTAGACAAGAAAAAAAAAATATCACGGAAAGAAAAAAGAAAAATGATTAGAAAGAGGATCACGGAGAGGTGGGGGTGAAAAGAAAAAAAAAAGGGAAAAGGATAATAAAATTATTTTCGCTAAATTGGCGAAGCGTCGTCTTGGGATTGGCACTGACCTCGATCCTAGTCGTCTGAATGCATCGGAAGAAGATGCATCGAAAACTGCATACATAACAGCAAGTAGCTTCCTTTTTCTTCTTCTTCCTCTTCTTCTTCTTTTTGTTCTTCTTCTACTTCAAATTCTATTTCTACTTCTACTTCTGCTTCTTCTTCTTCGTTCGTTAGCCTCGAATACGAAGCTGCATATTTCATAGACGATCTTAAAAAGATCCTTTCTCAATCGTTATCAAGCACAATAAATCGATAACAGAACCTTCCATCGATGATAATAACATTTTGAGAAGGGGAAAGTGGGTGGTGTGGCTGGCATTTGTTGGTTTTCTTCTTTTCATATAAACGTATAGTATATGATTTCATTGAAAATAGAAATCTCCCGTTAATCATAAATCTTCGAACGTTTATTAAAGGAAAGAATAATTTTTCAAAGGGAAACGAAAAAGAGAAAGAATTTAGATTGCCTTGTAGCAAGCAAATGTCATCATCATCATCATCATCATCATCATTATCATCATGTGTTGTTAAACTTTCAAGGTCGTTGTTTAATCGAATTTATAAGATATTCAAATCCCCATTGATTTAATGATCATTCTGATTTCTCTTCATATTCGCCATTTTGAATATTTTTCTCTTAGCTGGTCAATCCAGTTTGATCATCCCGTTGGTTGGTTGTTTGATCGGTTGGTTGTCGATTGGTTGGTAGTTTGGTTGGTTGATTGGTTTGGTGGGGTAAGTTGTTTCATTCGTTTCCCATCTCTTTCCTCATTTATTAGAGATTTACTACAACGCCGAAGGTTGATCCGGACATGATCGCGCCACCACACCGCTATTCGGTTCAATTGTCGCGACTGGTGCCGAAGTTCGACGGATTTCGATCGGTTTCGAAACGGGACCGTGTGTCCGCCTCGAAACCCCGGGACTGTTTCATGATAAGTTTCTTTGATCTTCCTCATCGTCGTCTCCTTTTTTCAAGCTTCTTTTAAGTTTGTCAACGAGACAAATGTGAAACTTGTTGAGGGAATTCGAACTACCGGTTTTTGGGGGAGAGGAGCCGGTACTTTTGCTTGGGCTCTGAAGCGAGCTCTGAGACGCTCTTGATGATGCTCGAGAGAAATGTCGAGAAGTCAAGGATACAGATCGATGGGCTGGTGAGGTTAGAAAATCCGAACCTGGTGACGTCGACAAGGACGGTCCTGCCGATTTCGAACATTCCGATACCTGCAACAATAAACATACAACGAACATTCTTTTTATTTTCCTTTTTCATTCTTTCTTATAATTATTTGTAATGTTTTTATTACTATTATTTTATAAAACTAATTTACTAGTATTACATATTAGTCGAAAGTTTCCAAACTATACCCTTATTTTATTTGAATATTTATAATAATTACAATTATTAAATTGATACAAGTATTCATACCGATCCCAATAGTTATATCTATTATTGCTATTATATAATTACACAAATTGATTTACACTACCCCTAATACAAATTTGCTTACGGAAATCCATCTATTTAAATTAGAAATGAAGGTATTCTGATGATGATGAACGTTATTCTGTTCATTCAATAGGGTTGTGTATTTTCATCATAATACGTTAGAAGATAAGATAACGATCTCGAGTAGGAACGATGTTAAGTAACAATATTTGGTGAGATAACAAAATATAAAAACGAACGTACATTTAAAAAGAGAGCAAGAGAGAACGAAATAAGAAGAGAGAGAGAGAGAGAAAACACATTGACGCCCGTGACCACGCACTCGCAAGAGAGTGCAAGGTTATGCGAGACTATTAGATTCACCAACCATGCGCAAGTAACACTTCCCTCCTTTTACCATACGTCTCGCGTGCGCAAGGCCGTCGTCGTTGGTCTCGATACAACATACCACTTGTGTGTAAAGTAACATGGGTATGCTACGGGATCTTCTATAGGAACATCTCCAGTGGTTCTCGATCATCAAGTAGACTTTATTATTGGAATTTTTTGTAAGGAAGTTCGGATGATAACCATCATAAAAAGTTATGATCCATACAACCGGTGTATGTAACTAATCGGTGTATAATCTTTCATACACACGGTTACAAAAGTACATCTCGATTCTTATAAGAATTTTGTTTGTAATATTTTTTTTTAAAGTTCAAACAATTTCCTTCAAAAATTTAGATGCATAAAACCGTATGTATGTAATAAGTTGTATACACAAAGTTACCATTATTTCTGACTTTCTGTATAATTATTTTTTTTTAAATCTATTTTTTTAAGAAAATCAATATAATTCTTGTAAGAAGTTTGGGGTGTATACAACTGGGGATGTACGCAATACAGAACCTTGGAAAGGCACTATTCTAACAATTTGTTTATTTTCAGTAATTCTTAATTCTTAAAAAAGAATTTCTTTTGTAAATTTGTTAGTAAACTTAAGAAGACATAATCCCACTCCTATATAAAAATGTTACTTTGGATAGAAAGAATTGAGTACAATAAACGATGAAGCCTAACGAGATATTTGAGGAGGCTATTGCGCAATATCGTGACGCGCAAAATAGCAGGACACAAACACACACACACACAACAGAACATATACGTATACTTGTATTGTCTCAATATTTTCTTTTCTCCCGTAAAATAAAAAGAAACAGAAGAAATAGAAACAATACAAGAAAAGGAAATTGATCGTTTATTCACGCTGCTAACCACACAACCAGCGTAAGATTTAAATAAACTAATGACTAATAAGAAATGTGCGTACGTATTATATGTCTCTCTCACTCATTGTGAGGAAGATATTAAAGTACACAAATACATACATGTGATACATGTAATTGAGTCGACTCTCCCTTTCTCTTGCTCTCTATTTTATAGTATATATATATATATATATATCATACTAATTTTTAACACTAGATATACCAGACCAGTCATTTTGACTGGTCGGGCCATTTTAATTCAAAATTTCGACTTCATGTAACATTTGTTTTTTTGCAAATAATTAAGCGTTTTGTTATATAAAAATGTCTATAAATCCCTTTATCTATTAAAATTATTATTGTTAAACATTTTTTGTTATTTTTTTAAGAGTAAACAAAGACTGGAAGCCTTAAAAAGCATTTTTTTATACACCAGTCATTTTGACTAATGTAATAGAAATAGGTATACTGAAAATGATGGTATATCTAGTGTTAAACCACCTGTATCCTTTCTTACTATTCCAAATATTAAACAAAAATATATTTCTTTTAATAATTACAATTTTTCTTTGATAAATTCAAATTTTGCATAATTAAAATTTATATTTTGTATTTACGATAGTGAGTTCAAAAGTTTTAAGCCTCGATTAGAAAAAAAACTTGTATCATTTTTTCTGTTAAATAAAAGTAAATTCTCTTCTTTCGAAAGAAAAATGTTATGTTAGGCTCAAGAGTTTACTTTAAATTTACATATTGATTTTGAAACCAGGTGTATATCTCTTTTCATTGCTTCGAATGTTATTTAATGAATATTTATATTTTGGGAGAAAATTTAAATTTGATATAATGAATGTTAATTTAAATTTTTTTTTTTTTTTGTAAATAACTCACCTTTCTACTGCGACAGGCACGAGGATTCGAACATTCGGAGGATCTCCTGTTTCGATTGGTTTTATAAATGTCCCACTCATTTTTCATCACCGGCATCATAAACGCCATCTCTGTTGTTACGATAATACAAGCAGAGCCGAGTTCTTTTTTATCAAGTTTTATTCAAGCTTCCTTTTTATTTCTTTTTACCACAACTTGTTTCCTTTATCCTCCTCTCTATCTTTCTCTTCTTTTTTATCAATAAAATTTTATCTCTTTCCCTTTCTCTCTCTCTTCTTTCCCTGACTTTCAAATGAAACTCCACGCGCCTTCTAGAAAGTTCAAAACGAGTTTTTTCAAGAACTCCGTAACAGCGCTGGTAGTATGATGGTAGTAGTTAGTGATGATGATGATGATGATGGTAAAGATGTAGTTGTTGTTGATACCGAAAAAAGAAGAATTTCAAAAGAAACTCTTTCCTTTGGATTGAAGGATAAAGAACACAACAGAGGTGATTAATCGAAAATATTAAATTAATTTTCAAATAAAATCACCCCCTAGTATTACCGATTACGATATCAAACGTAAACGTAATCAGTTATTCTCAAAAAAGGACTCTTTCTCAACGACGCGTAATATACATGTATAATACACGTCGATTTCGAAAGTAAGTCTTTATTTCGTTTTTTTTTCTTTCTTTTGCTTCCTTAAAAAATAGGGAAAGCGTGTCGTTCGTCTCGATGTCGATTGGCCGGATCCGGTGATCGTTATTTATCGGTGATGTAAATCAACACCGCAGTTGACAAGCCTTTCCAAATAGAGAAATCGTTCTAACTGAGCCACCGTCTTTTCTTCCCTTTCTTCTTCTTCTTCTTCTTCCTCCTCCTCTTCTACTTCCTCTTCTTTGTCTTCTTCTGATTCTAATCAGAAATTGCTGTTTTGTTGACTGTTATTTAGCCGACTGGAAAACTGCATAGATACGCGTGTATATGTGTATGTGTATATTTCGCGCGTTAGCCTTTTCAAAATAGTCCGACGTCAACAGAGTCCGATCGGTTCGACGGTCTGCTACAGAATGAGCACGTAAGGGGGGCGATCGTGTTGGTAGGTGTTTGACGGCGCCTAAGAGTGGGGTGTAAGGTACGGAAGACGATTGGATGATCGCGAGGCGGGACTGCTACTACGTCATCCCTTACCATTGATTTTCCAATGTTGATACACACTACGGCGTGACGTGGTATTTCGGATTGATTTCTTTTTTCTACGCGGTTCCTTCTCGATCCCACATCTAATGTAAGTAAATACTTACACGACAATATAGAATACACCTGCCAATTATCATCGAATGTATGATAAATTAGTATACACGAAATGGGATATCTTAAAACATTGTTTTGCAACTTTGATACGAAATGACGCATTAAATGATACCTTGATCGATACGACCAGAATAAACTACTCCAAGGTTAACATTTAATCTCGTCGCGACGTTAATAACTGTTAATAGGACGAAATAGATGCTATACAGATTGTATAAATAAAATCTATGTATGCGTATACGTTAAAGATGTATATACTTTTTTATTGCACTAATGGGTAAGGAAAATAACAGGAAAAAAATATCATACAATGATTATATCGAGCCGGATTTCTTTTCAGTCAATATCAAGGTTATCTTATATAATGATATCATTTTGTTAAAATGATATCCTGACAATCAATAATATCGTAAGGATTCCTATCTACTTGATAGATTATTCTACATTCAATAATATAACAATTGTGGGAAAAAAGCGACGTTAATTGTGAATATAAACTACAGATTACTACTATTACCGATTAAAACAAGTACAATGATAAAATAATCTCTTAAATCTTTGTTAAATTATTATTTTATATTTCTCAATAATTATTACTTGATTTTAGGCAATTTATTTCATTAAATTATTTAATAACAATCGTAGAATGTCTATAATACTCGTTTGTAAACAATTGATAATTTATCTACTTAAATAATAAACGCAATATATTAACGTGTTACCATGTATCGATAAAATAGAAATCTCTAAACAATATAATATTTGAATGTACTATCATCTATTAATAATTAAGAATTTTTACTATTTACAATATTCGAAACATGTTATCACTCATTGATAACATAATTTATAATACAAGTATGAAATGTTACAATTATAATCATTTAGCTGTTTCTCTTTTTAAAAAATTAGGAATATAAAGAAAAACAATGCATAATCATTGTATAATAATTAATTCTTCTTGTAAACATAACAAATATACATGTATATTGGCAATTACAATGTGGACGCTCAAAGTATAATAAATATTTCGATCTGAAAATATATTTCACTTTCGAGCAAACGAAAGATTTTGTTTCAGACGTGCATATAGCAAATATTTATTTAAAAAATATCAATTTTTGATAGAGACACCTAAAATTCTCCTCCATTTTATATTACGTACGTTTTATATTACGTATCATGATAGCAATTGTGCATATCGTACGCATATAATTGATTCATGTAATTAAGATATCCGAATCTTACATAGTCCTGCTAGTAAGACACATTCGAATAATATCAATAATACAATGAAATCAATTAGTTGCGTACATATAAACGTTAATATAAATACAAATATATATCATTTTATCTATATATATATACGTATATGCCTGCATATAAATAACAATCAATACTATTTACATGGAATGTATGATTGAAAAATACACAGCGATTTGTTTCTTTTAGGGAACAAAATTTACGTATACCTAAGCAATTCCTATTTTATCTAATTACGATTGCACGAATGTACTCATTTCAAAATAATACGAATTAATTGTGCAAGATGCTTGTAAAATAATTACAAGCGTTAATATGGTAACGAAAAAGATATAGACATAGAGTAAAATTGGCAGCTTACATAAATCATCGATAAACCCTATACTCTATTATGTGCGTTTTATCGCGTACGGAACAATATTTCTTAAGTTAATTTTATGTTTAAAGAAAACAAAAATATCTCACTGAGGTTTTGGTTTTTCATTTGGTATTGGAATACCAAAATAGCTCCTGAGTTGTTCAAGAAATAAAAATGTGAGAACTGTTTGTGGAGCTAGTCGTATAAATGCTGGCACATATCCCTATAATAATTTGTTGTTAATATATAATAAATAAAATTTAATGTGTTATTATTATGTTTTTCTCTGAAATAAATTTTATATTTAAACTGACCTTAAAAAAAGCTAATGGTCCGAGTTTGGCAGTATATAAAAAGAGATCCGCAAAATTCTGTAAAAAGATTAAGCAAATTGTTAATGATGCTAAAACTATAAAAAATGTTTATCAATGCTCACCTTGAATTCTCCAACCTTGGCATTCATTGCACGTGTTTTTAGAACATCCAATGGTTGTGTTAATGTTGTAGCTACAGCACCCTTATATAATTAAAATAATTGTAAATCTTACAAATAAGTAATGTATACTGATAACAAATAATAAAACTTACTGCGCATACGCTTGAAATTATATGAGTCGTAGGATTATCTGTAAAATAATCGCTAGACAATAGAATTATTTTAATTTGATCATAAAAACTTAATTGTCCTATTGTCATTAGCATTGCTCTTCCAGTTGCAGTAGAACAACCACTAAACAACCTTAATACACCTTCTTCTTTAATAACTCGAACTAATCCATCTAAAGCATGTTTGTAACTGCAAAATACAAAATTATTACTATTAAATACAAAAAAAAAATGTATTTATTCATTACTAACTTTCTTCTAAGGTGTGGCGGTAACTTAATATCATTTTGCATCCGAACGTTAATCAAATCTCCTGGAGTACCAACAACTCCACCAGCAGCACCTGCACATCCAGCCAAAAGCAGCTTTTGATAAAATGGCATAGGATTCCCATGTGATTCAATCGTCTGCTTACCTACCTAAATATAAATATTAATAATAAAATGTATATCATCTTGGAATACTAATTTTTAGATATTTATGAATTTTTAAATAGCAAACCTCATAAGCACCAAATCTTGTCATAGAATATGTAAGCTGACGAAGTAAGGAAGCAGTGAGACCATTATACAAAGCTAATATACCATCCTTTTCAATAATAGTAACAGTAGAGCGTATCGCAGATATTTTACCTTCTTGTTGAGTTTGCATATGAACCTGAAATAATTACAATACTTTTATTTATTTTCTTATCACTGCCTTAAAAAAAAAAAAATCTAACATAATACCTTAAGCAAATCCAATGGATGTGTAACACATGCGGCTCCAGCAGAAGCAATTCCTCCAAAATACCAGCGAGATAATTTTTGTATATCAGTCATCTTGTCTTCTTTTTTACTCGTAGCTATAAATAAGAAACGAAGGGATTAATATAAAATGTTGACATAAAAAGAAAAAGACAATGCTTGAAATAAATAATAAATTTACAAACTATCGCATAAACTGACTTACATTGTTTCTTTTTTTATTATATACAAGAACATCTATAATAAATTTTCCAACAATGACATGATGTTAATTTAACGTAATTTAAATAAATAATTTCAGATGTGCATATACACACATACGATACTGAAAATATACGAGAAACAATTAATTAGAATAATAATTTAAAAATAAATATATAATAATGGAAAATATATTGGTTTGATTTTCATGTAAAAATGAAAGACAAGATTATAGAAAATATTTTTAAATCTTTTTTATAAATATTTTATTTTATAAATAAATTATATAATAAAATATCTCAAAAAAATATGCTAAAAAAAAAATCATATAATTGTACCAATCCTTCAGACAAATATAATAAGTAAAACTACAAAACTTAGATTGCTATTACGAAACAGAATGATAAGAAAGACGGTATAAATAGATTAAAATATTCATTATCTTAAATAACCACGCTATATAATTATATATACATGCATATATGTATTACATTCATAAAAAATTGTTAAAAGAAAAAGAGAAGGAATTAATCAAACAGTCATTAAAATTTGTATAAAATATAAACATATACATGTACATATGGAATAAATATTAAATTATGAATAAAAAGAATATTTTTAGTACAACTTAGTAGAAATTAAAAAGATAAGGATACTAATAGATTTAAAAAATAAAAGTATGAATGCTTACAATTGGTTTGGATGGTAAGAAGAATTACATATCACTATGAACGAATATCCCTGTATTCCTGGAGGGGAACTGAACTCTGCCTGACGTAATGTATCCGTAGTATTTGGTACAGTTCCCTATGGTCAAACTCCAGAGTTATATTATACATATATATATTTATTCGTATATATTAGAAGCGCACGCATCAGCTGATAACTTAGCACACATGAAATACACACATCATACATATATCTAATACATATACTAGGTGCTCCATAATAAATGGAATTCACTTTAGAAATGACCGAGGGAATAAAATCAATTTAAAAAAGTGTACCCTATTTGACCTTGGATCAAAAAATACCCAGAAATAAATGAATTTCGTGCTTTTATGAATTTTTCTTCATTGTTTTATGTTCTTCCTTCCTAAAGTGCATTCCACTTATTACAAGACACCTTGTATACTAAATATGTATATGCGCATGCTGGAAGTTTACCTTGAACCACATGTTATCCTGGTTAATAAATTATTTTAAAAATGTGTATAATAAATCTGCATGGATAATAAAATAATTTAATAACTTTTAACTAACCTTACTTATTTATTTTTCCATCAAGAATTATTTAAATTAATCTTGCAATTTATATATGTACAATTTTAATTAAATAGAATCATTCTCAAGTAAATGTACGTGTTTAGTGATACACTAATTTATTTCGAGAACTACAAATTTAATTATTTAATTAAATTAATGATTACTTTTTTATTTAATTAATTCATTCATTAAAATATTCATTATGATATTCTGCACCTTCACATTGTTCATTTGAAAAAATGAAAATTAAAATGGCGCGAAATATAATATTTGATTGCAACAATTGCAACTAGAACTTGCAACGCCATCTATAAACTTAAAAAACTTGTGGCGCCGTCTGTGAAATTAAGTAGTTATTATTTTTCTGTTAAAAGTTTATGTGACGAGGTTATAATAGTTTATAATCATTTGATCAAAGATTTATTATAATTATTGTGTATCTTATACAAAATAATTATTTAATTGAGTAATGCTATTGTGATAAATTAATTAACAAAAATGAGTAACGTTTATATTCAAGAACCTCCCACGACAGGAAAGGTTAGTTAAATTTCTATAAAATTAAATAAACCAATTTAATTGATTGCTCTTTCTGAATTATTGTTTTTATTGATTAGGTTTTAATGAAAACATCCGTTGGAGATATAGAAATCGAATTATGGACGAAGGAAGCTCCTAAAGCTTGTAGAAATTTTATTCAATTATGTATGGAAGGTTATTACGACAACACAATATTTCATAGAGTTGTTAAAGGGTTTATAGTTCAAGGGGGTGATCCAACAGGTACAGGAGAAGGTGGTGAGAGTATATACGGTGCTCCTTTTAAGGTAAAAAAAAATTTAATTATTGATGAATGAGAATATTTATTAAATAAGTTTACATTTTAGGATGAATTTCATACTAGGCTGCGATTTTGTCGAAGAGGTCTTCTTGCCTCGGCTAATGCTGGTAAGGATGATAATGGCTCACAGTTCTTTTTTACACTGGCTGCTACACCAGAATTACAAAACAAACATACCATTTTTGGCAAAGTTATCGGAGAAACTTTGTACAACATGCTCAAGCTCGAAGAAGCTCTTGTCGACGAAGTAATTTAATTATATTTTATTTAAAAGAATTATGTAATGATGTTAAATGATAAATGAATGTTTTATTATTATTATTAATTTCTATTTTTTAGGATGATAGACCTATTTATCCACAAAAGATATTGAAAACAGAAATTTTGAACAATCCATTTATGGATATCACACCACGCATTGAATCCAAGAAAAATAGCGATGCAAAAGAAAGTAAAAAAGAAAAGAAAACTGGAGTAAAGTAAGCATTATAGAAATTTTGGTTATTTGTTTATAGATTAGATAAAAATTAATATGTATGACAATAATCATTTTTACAGAAATTTTAAGTTATTATCTTTCGGCGAAGAAGCAGAAGAAGATGAGGAAGAATCTGTGATTTTGAATAAACAATTGAATAATAAAGCTAAATCAGCTCATGACCGGTTATCAGATCCTAAATTAAGTTCACAACCAGTTATTGATACCAGTGAACCACCAAATAAAAAATTAAAGGAAAGTGATGACGTTGATTCTGACAGCGACGACAATGCATTGCAATCTTCCGAGCAAATAGCAGCCATCGCCAAAGAAAAATCGTTAGTTGAAATTGCATCTTTTAAAAAAAGAAAAAAGAAAAGATCTATATGCAATTGAAATGAAATTTCTTAAGTTTCTCTTGTAGTCTTTCGGAAAATATTTTCACGATCGATATTTCCTCGTTTCTCCCCCATCACTTAAATGACTTTAAATCTTTCATTTTTTGTATCACTTAAAAATTTTCAGTACACTCCCAAAAGAACTTTCATTTAAAAAAAAAAACGAAATTGTAATTTAATATTTAATTTATTATTAATTTTATTTAATATTTTTAGAGAAATGACTGAGAGAGTGAAAAATAAATTGAAAAAAAGTAAAAAGACAAGCGAATCGACAAAAACTGAATCCACCAAAGCGGTAATCGATAACGAGAACGTAGAAGAAGAAGAAGAGGAATATTATTTTGGGAAAGAATTATACGAAGAACGTAAAAAGAAAGTGTACGTACGCATAAATAACATAATTGCAAGTATTATTTTTACATACATTTATTTAAACTTATTATTCTATTCGTAATAACAGGGAAGCGATTAAGAAAGAAATTCGTGACTTGAAGCGCACTGTTCAGAATGAGAAGAAAGAGAAAGAAGCTGAAAAAAAGATTGAGAACGATAAGCAGGAACAAAAAAGAAAACAGAGTGAAATGTTGAAAGATTATTTACAGACTCAGGAAGAGTATAAAAAAGCAAAACAAAAAATACCTGCAAAGGGTAAAACACGTGAGGATTTTACTCTAAATCTTTTAAGTAAATTCAGGAATAAGCTTCAGGATACTAAAGAGTGTACAAAGAATAGTTCGAGCACAATGAAATATGAGGAAGATGAGGAAGGAGAAGCTAAAGATGATGTGGAGGACGAATTGTGGATGGCGCATACCCTGCGTTGTGAAGAAAAGGCTCCAGTACTTGCGAAAGATGCTAGTACAAAGGATGATGATTGGTTTGAAATTTATGATCCACGAAATCCGTTAAATAAACGTCGAAGAGGTGAATCGACGAATAGCTCGAGAGATGGTAAAAAAAATAAAAGTCATTCGCATAGAAGATAATTATAAATATATATATATATTTTTTTTAATTCTCTATTTTTATTATAATCTTAAGTATATATACTTTATATAATGTGTATAGTTATAAAATTATATCTCAATTTTTTATACTTTGTTGTATATAAATATTTCTGAAGATACATTTTCAATAATTCGATCAAAATTTAAATTACTGAGTCGCGTTTGTAGAATTCAAGAATTTGGAAAAATACCTTTATTAAATTTGCTAATTAATTTTTCTTTCGTTAGAAGATACTGTATATATAGAAATTAATGATTAAATTAATCCAAGCTAATTCGGTAAATGTAGTTCCTTTTTCGACATTTCGAGTACTGTTGCATCATTGAAAATACCACGATTTCAATCGATTATACTACATTTAAAAAAAATTAAAACGTGTTTCGACGATGGAAAGTAATTCGAATGATTAGTAAAATGTAATAATTACAATTATTTGTAAATATGTGTAAAAAAAAAAGCAAAAAAAAAGAGTAAAAAGTCAATCATGCGATATTAGTTTTGAAAATATCGTATACACTTGTGTATATATATATTGTATATATATATATTTAATATAATTATTATTTAACGATGCGTAATTTAATTAAGAACAAGAAGCAAAAATTCTTACAACAAAAAATAGAAGAAACAGATGAAAATTGCAAAAGCAGTTTTCGAAAATAAAGTTCTTCGTAAAATCTTCGGTGCAAAACGTGATAAGGAAATGGGCGAATGGAAAAAATTCTATAACGTAGAAGTACACCGACTGTACAACAAACCGGATATCATTAACGTTATCAAATCACGCCGATTAAGATGGGCTGATCATGTGGTGCGCATGGGGGAGGATCGAACGGCGCATAAAATACTGGTCGAACAGGAAAAGACCACTAGGTAGACCGAGACGTAGATGGGAGGACAATATTAGGAGGGATCTTAAAGAAACAGGCTATGAAGACCGCGAATGGAGGAGTCACGCTCAGGGACGGAACACTGGCGGGTTTGGTATTTGCGGCAACGAACTTTCGAGTTCTAATGCAAATTAATAATATATAATAATAATAATTATTATTATTTATTAACTTACTCAATACAAGTACTTAACGTCGAGTTTCATGCAGAATAGTCACATGTACTTGGTAGCACGACGATTGTACTCTCATTTATTTTTTTTTTTAATATGCTCGTTAAGAGCGCAAAATTTTCTCGAATTAATTGCTTTCGAGAACGATGAATTTTTTAGGCGGGGCAAACTGTAGAGTAGGGTTTTCTCTGTCACATATTGTATACATTCATAATGTTGCCATAAAATTCCTTTTTCACTATTAGACTTGCTTACTTTTCAGAGATTTCTTTCATTAAGATCTTTTCGACATTTAAATGCATTAATTTTTTCTTACAATCGGAAATTCAGTTTAACAAACGAATCATTGGATTAATATGTTTTTGTTAAAGAAATATATAATTGCAATATGCCTATGTTAAAGAATTTGCTTAAACATAGAAATAAAGAAAAAAGATAACAACATGCGTACGAATACGTAATCAACTTTATCGTTTACTATTTTGTTGTTGTTGTCGCTAACTCTCTTACTAATTTATGAATAATTATGAATTATATTGTATATCGTCACTTTTGATGCATAGAAATTATTTTTTGTAACAACCGACATTTACAGACAAATTGAAATGATCCATCATTTGGCTTACAAAAAAGATAGACACAATTTTCATGGAAATACAAATATATACATATAACACATGTACCGATTGATATAATAAATTCAAATTTGTAAAATTTATTTCTAAAAAACTCTAAATTATTATTATTATAATTAATTAAATTATAAAATCTTTTTACACGATTCTAATTAATTGTAAAGTAAAATATGTCGATCATTAACTCTTTCGTTATAAGCGACTCATGTATGAAGAGTCATCCAAGTAAGATCCCCGTATGAACGATTAATCTCCAACCGACCCATATAGGGAGTTATAACATGAAACGATGATGAATTTATATGAAAGGATATTCGCGTCAAAGTATGCCATAACGAAAGGATTAATGACTAAGTCTTTTACTTGTAAAAGTAAATGATTTATTATTAGAATTTAATAATTAGTATGAACAAATATATATTGAAATTCAGCCCTCATAGGCAGAACAATAGAAGAAATCGTTGACAAATTGTGTCGATCTGTTTTCGACGCCAAGATTTTCTTTCTCTTTCTTTTCGTTATTCTCGATAATACGCCTATCTCTTTCATTTTGTCCTGATATCACCTCATTTTCATCTTATTGATATATTCAGTCCCGTTCTCCTCTTTCCTCGGCTCGTTCCTCCGCTCTTGCTTTCATTCTAGTAATAAACGCCTGTCCTTTGCTTTTACGGAAATTTTCGTACGGATCGTTCAAATTAATACCGACCCCTTTATATTGGTCATTTTTATCTCGAATTTCACCCCCGGATATAGGAGCCTCGATACCCTGCTCATTAGCACCTAATCCAGCACCAGCCCAGCCCATTTTTTTTAACAACTGGTGTCCTTTATTACTTTCATCGAGACTTATCTCTTGCGGAGCTTTGCTATATGTTGATCCACTAAATAAAAAATAGTTAACATTTATACAAATCATACATATTTATGTAACAAATTTCCAACAGGAAATAAAAATTATTATCATAAAACCCAGCGCCACCACTTTGGGGATAAAAATACACATATTCTTTAAATTGAATGTATATAAAAATACTATTTTCACATGTATTAATAGAAGAAGCTGTAATATTCACTGAAATGATTAATAATAAATAATAAATAATAAGTATGTTTAATTTTTAAATAGAGAAGAATCTGGAAACGCTGTGTTCTATGTAATATAAAATAAAAAAAAATAAAGACTTACAGAAAACTTGGAGGAGTTGGACTGCGATCCTGTCTGTCTAATCTTCTCTCAGGACTTCGATCTTTATTGCTGTTTCTTCTTCTGCGACTTCTAGTATTATGATTACTGTTGCGACTATTCCGTCTATGATTCGCCGTTGGTGATCGTGATCTACTCCTACCCCTTGATCTCGACCGTGATCTGCTACGAGATTTGCTTCTGTAACGTTTCTTTGGAGGACTAGGACTCTTTGATCTTGGCCTTAAAATAGGCGAGGGTGATTTTGATTTTTGCCTAATTCCAGCTACAATGTCTTCTTCTTTGCGTTTGCGAGCTAAATTCTTTGCTTTGTAATATTCATAAAGACCAAGTTTCTCCCATCCATCGCTAAAATACAAAATTGAAAACATTGATATTAAGATTGATATATACAAATAATTGTAATATTAATTGGGTAATATTACCATAGATAAAATAAATTAATTACAACTCACCTATCTCTCGGTGAATCGTGATTTGGAGGTGCATAAAAAGCTTCTACAGCAGCAACCAATCGATCACTGGGTGGTGCAGGTGGTGGAAGTCTGATAGCATCGGGATCTAATGGTTTGTATTCTCCATCTTCAAGTTTGATGAGGGGGACCATCAAACCTGCAGGCAAATCAAAGTATGGCATGCTGGGCATCAAATCTTCGACAGATGGTTCGTGAATGACAGGTGGTGGACCGAATCCTGGTGGTGGTTTAGAAAAATCTGGTAAAGGCACATTGGAAAATGGTGGTGGTTCATTTCCTGGTGGTACACCCCAACCAGGTGGAGGTTGACTAAAGTTAACATCACTACCCATTGGTCCGCTGGGACCAGTATGATTAGGTGGTAGTGCCATATTCTGTTGATTCTATAAAAAAACATCATTTTATAAGAAAAAATGTTAACACTACTAGTAAAATACGAATAGTACAACAAAATAAAATACCAGTTGTGGAGGTGGTGCTTTTAGCTGCTGATCGATTGCAATTTTTTGCTGTTCAATATTCTGAATTTGTCTTAAAGCATGCGTAACAAATGCTTGATGTTGGGCTTGATAATTGTCAAATGTTTGTTTTGTTGAAGTTGTGATAGGTGTAATAGCGCTTGCATGTTGAGATACCAAATTAGCTTGGTATTCTGACCATGATGCACTGGGTTGTTTCAATTTATCTATAATTCCTTCGTCAAAGTAATTATTCTTTGATTCCCAAAGGCTTAATAATTTATTAAGCTTGTTAAGTTGCTCTTCGGATGCGGCTAATGAAGTATTACAGAACATGGGTACAACTACACTTTCCATCGCCTTTCGAAGATCCATAGATTTTTTTCTAGCGCTAAGAAATGTTATACTTTGCAAATATATATATATATATATATGTAAATATACATACAGATGCAAGCATAATTATAAAAAATATACATATCACAGATAATTTTATAATTAACAAAGGATTTCTATTTGATTGCAAAAATACACCTAATATTAACACATTGCGTACGGCACACTTTTCGCGCAACACGCTTCCATGGACCGCATATTTTTTGGTGTAGTTCTATGTCTAATAACATTACTCAATTCAAGAATTTCCCTATTATCATTGAGTTTATTTTCGTCTGCAGTATTATTCGATTCATCCGATAAATCATCAAACAACAATTACTGGTAACGTAGCAAGAAAGTTTATTTTTAGTTCTTTAAATCGTTGATTGAGTCGAAGTAACCTTAAAAAGAGATATCTCGTCTCACAGCCTCAACGTTCGGATTGCTAAAGACGAGAAATCTCGTCTCCCGTACGCAATGTGTTAAATATCACACGCATACAGAGATGATGAAATATTTAATAATATAATCAAACTAAATGATGGCCGTATTTAAAAAAAAATTCATACTCACCAATGATGCAAGACATCGTTTACCAAATATATAATGTGAAGCTTATGGCTAAATGTCGATCCTTGGATAACTCTATAACAAAAACATATCATGTAAAAAGATATTTTCAAATGTAGTAATGATTATTTCATTTAATAACAATATTATATTACTTTTTTAATAAATGATCAGCAACAACTTGATTGCTTTGTGGCGTAACAGAATTTTGAAGAATCCAAGCCTTTCCTGCGCTTATGCTGTCTTTGGTACAGCTATCAATAATGGGTTGCAAAACAGTATCAAATGCTGTAAGATCAGTGTTGGTTGTTTGAGCGTTATTTTGCAGAGCTGTTTCCTGAGCTTGTCTAACTGCATCCTCGACTCTGCCTTGTTGTTGTGCCATTAATGCAGCATGTTGAGCAGCAAGATTTTGTTCCGATTGTCTAACTTGTTCCTGCAGAGTCGTTTGTTGTGATTGAAGATTGGCCAGTTCTGTTTGAAGCCATGCTGGTGGGCCACCGATGTTAACCGCTGGTGTAACTCCACCTATTGGTGGATTTACACCTCCCATGGCAGACGGTACCGATCCAATAGGTGGTCCAGTACTAGTTGGTCCTCCAATTTGTCCAGGTACGCCTGGTATCACTGTACCAGCCGAATTTCCCACTGGCCCAATTCCAACTACCGGATTTAATCCATTGTTCTGAGTATTTAGGCCAGACGTTAGATTGACGTTATTCAGCGACTGCGTGGCGGTAGCGGCTGTTTGCTGCTGCTGCGAAACGTTTAAACGTGGGTCTGCATTTTGCATTGGATTTATTCCTTTTTGCTTTAAAACTGTAAACGAATGACGGTGGATTATTGTAAGATGTTTTATTTCTTCAATTTGTTATTGAAAAAGTATACAAATAGTCCAATTTCTGTTCTGTATTATCTTTTTACCGGTGCATAATTTAATTCTTGGCGGGTTTATTAGAGAAGTATACATATAATCAAAAAAATCCGGTAAGTTTTTTGGGAGCACTATATTCTTTTCCCTGTTTTTATATTTCTATATTACAAGGGCTTTACAGGGTATATATACGTTATATGGGATTATTTATACCTCCCACATAGATTTAAGCTTTACACCGACAATGTACTCCGTATTAGATAAGTTCCAGTAAGAATCTTAAAACTAATTCTTCTCAAAATCGCCATTGTCGAGGAATACAAGATGTCTTTAGCAAAAGCATTCTGCTTAACAAATAGCAATCCCAAAATCTTGAAACCAAGTGCTCACATTTGATGATTAATTGTACGATGAGTTCAGAGACCCTTTCAACCGTATCTCTTACTTTTTTATATTAATATTATTAATATTACTTTGATTTATTTATACATATATTTTTTTTTTGGTCAAACTCATTCCTTGTTCGTTGAATAAAGCATGGCCTTTATGCTTCTCAATTGTTGGTAGCTGTTAAGGGGCTGTATCCCACTTACTGGCTTGCTCTGTAGTCACTTTGTACTGATAGTAGTTGAAGTGTTCCCCGCCAAACAGGAAACCAAACTTAGGGTTGTCCTTCTGCTTGTTTTTGGTCATCTGCTCGAACTCCGGTCCATTGCGGGCGACAAACTGTGCCAGTTTGTCAATGATGTTCCGTAACTCTGTATCTACATGTTATATCAAAACAAATAGAATTAGAGTCATTGATTAGTGTTAAATGATAAAATCCATAAAAAATTAATAATAAAATTAAAAAAAAAAAAGAAATGTAAAAGTAAACGTTAAAGTACATATTAGAGAAATATAAAAGAATATTGTATTAAATATTCAACCCTGTCCTAAAAAGTGTGCCCATTGTAACCTGAAAATTTGAAATAATTCATATTGAACATTCACCGAGTTAGGGTGATACATAACACATTGATCTCCAACTTTGATCAAAATGAAAATGCTAAAATGATTAATCATATAATATTACGATTAATATGAATATGTGATATCATTCATTAATTTTCAATTAAAGGTGAGAATATATGTGTGCGGTAAGATCGCGCGCACGGTCATTCCTTTTTTCTTTTTCTCTCTCTCTCTCTCTTTCTTTCTCTCTATCTCTCTCGCTCTCTCTCTCTCTCTCTTCCTGTGATCGTCGTCGTCTCGTTGAGCTTAATAACTGTTTATTTACCTGTAGGTGCTTGGTCCATTATAGCGACTTCTTTCGAGTACTCTTCCAAGTTAATTAATTAAAGTTGCTTTTACAAAATTGGACCTTCTTTTTTATACGATCGAAACTTTTCTTCGAAAAACATCATCTACTCACAGTGCACACAAGACGCTAGAAATCGCCATTTTTACTTTTATTTGTTCCTTGAGCATCAGTGGCGCCATCCTCCCTAGCCACATTGAACAACCTAAGCGACACATCCGGAAATACCGCCATCTTTATCGCATTTTACTATTTGTGATCTGATTGTCGTTAATTGTATCCTACAGTTTTTCTTCATAATTTAAGGTAATTGTTTTTATATTTTTCATTAATCTATCGTTAAGTAGGGAATTAAAAAAAAATGTGTTTTTATTTCTACAAATTGTCTACTGATTTTTATATACTTGTACGACAATATGACACAATCGTTTCTGGAGTATATGTCAGCAATACAATTTATTATTTTATTATTATTTTTATTTTATTATTTTATTATTTTATTTATTTTATTTTTTATTTATATTATTTTATTTTATTTATTTTATTATTATTTTATTATTTTATTATTTATTTTATTATTTTATTATTTATAGAAATGCCAGTAGCATCTGAAATTAAGTCCAGCTGGGCAGATGAAGTCGAAGAAGAAGGAGGAGTATTACCTCCACCTTCTGAGGTTTATGAGAATGGATTTAAGATACTTACAGAATATAAGTATAATCAAGATAACAAGAAGGTTAAGGTAGTAAGTACTTACAAAATTGAACGTCGCATCGTATCAAAGACCATTGCTGAAAGGAAGAATTGGGCAAAGTTTGGAGACTCCGCTGATGATAGACCAGGTCCCAATCCTGCTACTACGGTTGGTGCAGAAGATGTTTTTATGCAGTTTATATCTAGTAAAGAGGAAGAAAATAAAGTTGAAGAGGATACTCTCGACAAGCTTAAAAACATGGGTGAAAAGGGTGTTGTTAAATGTCGTAATTGTAATGGTGACCATTGGACTACTAAATGTCCGTATAAGGATACTGTACTTGCTGGAGGTAAATATTTTTACAGCGAGTTTTATAGGTTCCTTCCTCTAATTATTATTATTATTATTTTTATTATTATTATTATTTTTAGGTAAAGTACCAGATGATAAGAAACCTCTTGTAAGCCCCGCTGTTCCTGGAGCAATGGCTGAGTTGAAACCACAAGGAAGTAAATATGTTCCACCGAGTATGCGAGATGGTGGCAACAAACGTGGTGATGCTATGCAAATGCAGAGAAGAGACGATACTACGGCCATTCGTATTTCCAATTTATCTCAGAGTACTACAGATGCTGATTTGGATGAACTGGTTAAACCGTTCGGAACGGTTGTGAAACAATACTTAGCAAAGGAAAAACAAACAAATTTGTGCAAAGGATTTGCATATGTACATTTCAAGTATAGAGCCGAAGCTGCTAAAGCTATCGCCACTCTCGATGGTTATGGATACGATCATCTTATTTTAAGCGTAGAATGGTCCAAACCTCAACAACAAAATAACTAATTTGATTTAATGTAAAGCAATAAGGAAAAATCTTTACGCTGGACTTAATGGGTGTGGCTGTGCCAAGTTGTAAAATCTGAGGACAAGTAAACAATATTCAACAGTTTTTACTTTTTCATGTTGTCCATTTTTACATCTGACATTTCCAGTGAATACAACATATTAATGAAATGACAATTTGTAATCTTACATAAATCAAATTCAAATGAGGTATAATTACATTTTTCTTGATGACACAACTTATCACCAATTTTATTTTAATATTCAATTAAGTTTTGCAGTAAAGTAATTCTCTTTAAAACATGATTTATTGAATTTTTTTTAATTTAAAATTGATTGTAAATAGAAACGATATTATATACATAAGCCTTGATTATTATTATAAATATAATTAACAGCCCAATTATACTAATTGTAATATAGCATGATTCATCGATAATACCTATCCTTTATTTATTGTCCAATTGAATTCCAATACAATTTGATTTAAATTTATTATACATTAAGTAACTAGATTTTTTAACGAATTTTTTTACATGATTTCATAAAAAGTTTAATTATATTTATTTTGTGTGTAGATTTAAAAAATTTTTATTAGTTTTAAATCCTTATATTATTAACAATCCGTACAGGGATCATTCGAGGCTCATACGAGACCTTTGCATGAACGATCCGTATATGAAACGCTAGTAACGAAAGTGTGTTAAAAAAGTAGATAATAAAAAATGGATGTTGAGCCAAGAATTATATACGTAAAAAGTTTGATAATATAAAAAGCAAGGACATATATTTTTTTTTTCTTATTGTTACTGTGACATAATTATAATATGATTAATACTAGATAGTCTAAGTACTTCGAGACGGTAACTATAGATAACAATTATATATTGCTCCAATGAGCTTAGTCACCATTTTTAAAAAAAAGTACCAACGGAACTGTTTCTTGTTATTATTGATTAATATTACAAAAAAAAAAATATATATATATATATATTTAGAAAATAAATCTCAAATATTTTATCAGGAAAAAACATTAACAATCATAAGCGTTGCTTTTTAATTTTTTAAAAGAATTTTTCCGATCCCTTAAGAACAATATTTTCACATTTTCATACGAGTTGTTAAAGAAGTATTTAAAAATCATATTTAGTTCCAATAAATGTGGTACTTTTTTACTATAATATCATAATCAATGTTAACGATAGAAAATTTAATAAAACCTAAAAAGAAAAACAAACAAAAAAATCGCATAAATGCGGGCTTGCAACAATTGTCTCATTGAGACACACGTTTAAATGTAAAATTTAACGAGAAAATAAAAATTAATAATTAACGGCGCTCTCAACAATAATCGATGTATCATTCGCTTGTATTATTTACAGAACACGTAGCATAAACGAGATATAATTAATTTTTCTTTTTTTTTTTTCATATATATATAAAAAGACAATAGTCGTTCATAAACTCGACATTTGAAACACCAGGATTTATTTTACATATAAAGCGTAAAATTCAATCCGATTATATATGATCGATCACAAAGCGACTTAATCCGACCATTATCCAGAAACACCAATAGATAACTCTTTTTAAGATTTCATTTTTTTTTTCGACCTTTAGAATTGTATTTGAAAAATGAAAATATAATTTCTTTTGACGAAATATCTTCGTTGTTTCTATAAAGCATTGAGTGCAAACCATATTCATCCTTTGAGGATATCAATCCATCGGTCTGCTAAATATCAACGATGCACAAACATACTTAACGCATATGCATGCTTATATATCGGAAACGCATTGTCGTTGCTTTTTTTTTTGACTAACAAGAAGATAAAGAATTAGTCGACCAACGTTGAAGATGGAAAGTGAATCTGGTCAGGTTTACCAAACAGCACACTTCTTCTCAGGATTCATTTTCGAACCAAGCGGACAATTAAAGTCTTTAGAAAATTCGTTCATATTTGAGAAAGGACCTAAAACACGAAATTCTCCTGGACTATGGAATCCAGTGGTAATGCGAAGCTTCATCGCTTCTGGTCGATATTTGCTGCACCAAGTATTGGCAGCACTAATCCAAAACATTTGTTCGGGCGTATAGGAAAGTCCTGGTAATTTTGGTTCGGGGTGATTTCTTTTGACCCATTCTTTGTAAGCAAAGTAGGCTTCTTTGATGCCACCATTATCCGCAATATTTTCACCTTGCGTATTAATACCATTTAACTGTGATCATAAAAATAATGAATTAATGTCTTAATTAAGATTTGATGAATTATGAAGAATAAGAGAAAGGTTTTCGTACGTTCAAACCAACTTCCTCGACCGTGTAATTTCCATATTGGTGAACAATACATTCAGCTCTTTCTAAATAATTTTCTTTAGTTTCTGGTGCCCACCAATCGACGAGATTTCCTTCTTTATCAAATTGTCTGCCTTGATCATCGAAACCGTGGGTAATTTCATGGCCAATAACAAATCCGATAGCACCGTAATTCATATACCGTGGTCGATCGTTGTTGAAGAAAGTTCCTTGAAGAATACCGGCTGGGAATTCTGATCAATCATATTAATAAAATTATATTCAGTATTATAATTAAAAAAAAAATAAGGAAGATTTTTAAGATTAGAGAAAAAACGTACGAATGCTGTTTTCTATAGATGAATAAAATGCGTTAACGATAGCTGGTCTTCCATGAGTAACCCAATCACTCTTGTTTACAGGTTTCCTAAGTTTGCTGAAAGAATATTCCGTTCCGAAGAGAGTTAAGTTTAAAATACTTTCGAGATAACTTCCATCGGTCAATTCAAGTTTCTTATAAAATTCTTCAAGTTTTTTATCATCCAATAATTCGTCGGGATAAGCAATGTGACTGGACATCGATTCAGCTTTGTCCAAAGCACTTTCTTTAGTATTTTCGTCCATCCAGTCGACCTAAAAAAATAATAAATGTATAACAACATTTTAAACATGCAATTAATTTTGAAGAATTAGTAAGATATTAGAGAAATAAATGTTTTACCTTTTTCAAAATTTTCTTAAATTCTTCTCTGATATCCGAGACCATTTCAATTGCATTTTTCTTAGCATCTTCTTTGAAATATTTCCTTACGTACATCGCACCAACGCTTATCGATAAACTTCCCGAAACTATGTCAACGCATTCCTTCCATCTGGCTTCTCTCTCAGTTTTGCCACTCAAAGCTGTCGAATATTGAAGTTGCCTTCTTCTGATGTTCTCCGTAAGATAACTGACCGATCCGGCAGCTGCCCTCCACATGACATAATTAGCTTGAATCCTTTTCGGCGTCTTACTCAAAAGTTCTTCCAAACTTGTAATATAACTTGGCACGCTAACTATCACCACTTCATTTTCATCAACCTGTACGGTCGGTGCTAATATCGTATTAAAATATTCCTTCCATGGAATGCTTGGAAAGTTCTTGTTCAATTCAGTTATGGTCATTGGGTTGTATAACAACGTTGCGTTACGTCGTTTTTCATTGGGCAATGATATCTGGAAAAAAAAGACATAAAAAAAAAGAAATCAAGATTATCGAAATGATCTTGACCAATCGTAACACAAAAGTCACGAATAATAATTCCAAACTTAAAACTTACATTAGCAAGTTTCATTTCGAATTCCAATGATTCTTTAAGTTCAGTTTTAGCTCTGTTTTTGTCTGCTCCAAGTATTACAGCAATATCAACCATGTAATCATAATAAGCTTGCACGATTTTATCATCAAATCCCTTGGACAAATATTCGCGTGATAAACCGAGCGAAGCTTGATCCAACTGAAAGGAAATATTTATCAGAGTTCTTGTTTGATTTTTACAAAGATCGTTGAGAGATAAGTATTTTTATACTTACATCAATAATGCGCATTGTGCTATTCTTTAAATCTACGCCGATGCTAAAGTCTATGAAATAATCTACGGAATAACCTTTTGTTCTGAATTTGTAAACCGAATCTATCCAATTGAAATCTTCCTCTTTCCAATTGTCACCTTCTAACACAGGCCAACCACCTAATGTTTTCAAAATATTATGCAGAGGTTCCAAACCTCTTTCTTCGATAGCCGCTAAAAAATAAAAATACAAACAAATAATTAGAATTATATACAAAATTCTAAACAATTGTACAACAGAACAGAATTACTTACTTTTATTCATACAAGTTTTATAAAAGATCTTAGCTAACGTGAACGGTTTTGGCTCATTCGGTGGACTCTTCTCTTCGATGCTGGTTCTAAGTTGTTGTTGAAGATTATCACTGATAATACTAAACGTATTTACGCTAGTCTTGTCGTCCGGAATGATGGTGGATTTGAGAAAACCACCGCAAGCGAATTGGTAAAAATCATCGCAGGGTTCAACGTCGGAATCCATGTTCTCCAATATTTTTGAAGCTGTATTCAAATGAATTTCAAAATTGTTATGACATATGACAATTTTTTTTTTTTTTTTATAAAACTCACCGGTGTGTACACATCCTGGAGAAACGCATATGTTTTGTTTCTCTGTTGATTGACGATTGATGGTTGTACCTTTGATTACTTGCAGAGCTTCCGCTGTGGATGGTAGTTGGTCTGAATTAGCAACAGCTAACGGCGCGTGCAGATGATTTGCGTGCAGATGCAGATTGGTGAGGATAAGAAAAAATAAAATACGAAAATATGTGATATTAGTATTAAGCTAATTTATTTTTCTAAATTAGTAATATCAGTAAATAAAAAAAACCAAAACTCTATTTGCAAGCAATAATGTATTGCAAATAAAAAAGCAAATACGCAATTAGGATTCTAAGTGATTCATAATAGTAATAATACTTAGGATGTTAATAATACCGAAGGTTTAAAGCATAAAACTAGTCGAGATATTTTATTTTATTTTATTTTTTGTCGAAATTTTCCATAGATAATGAATTGTAATAATAACTCAAAACAAAATGATTCACTCGACGAGTCATTACACATTATTTTTCTCCTTCTAAAATAAATATCAGAACTACTTAAATGATTTTTTTTTGGGGGGGGGGAAGAGGGAGGAAGATTCTTTTAAACTTCGAATGAGAATAGAAATTCATTTGCCATCTTTTTTTTTTATCTCGTCAAAAGTAAAAAAAATTGTTTGGTTTTGTTCCGATAAATTCAGTTCTGGGTAGTTAAGTTTTTTCAAGGTCAATGAAATAAATTTGGACGTGTGTGTTTATTAATTGTTTAATCAAGGGAATTAGAATAGAATAGAAAAAGAAAAGAAAAAGTGATAGCATGCGAAATCGATAAATTTCATTCTTCTGGATTGAGTTCTGTAGTCAATACCGTTGCGATTTATTATACTTAATGGTGAACATGAATCGTTTAACCCAACTTTATGCTCTTCACCTCGTGTCGTAAGAAACGAAGATCGATTAATCTTGATTATATATCGAGTCAACTGCTTAATGTTTGTACCGAATTGAAATAATTGTGTTCGACATAGATTATCGGACTATTTGACGAAGAACCAAGTCGTAAAACGGATGACAAACAATGCGAGATCAATAAGATCAACATTCTAATCGATAATACTTAACTCGATGTCTTTATACACGATCTTTAGATCTTGTTCACTACTTAGCGTATGTAATAATTTCGTTAGTAAAAGCGAATACGCTGTTTTAATAAATTTTCATATTTTTTAATGTAATAATATTCATTTGAGATGATTTATAATTAATGCATCCCCCTAATTATAATTGGAGTAAGTTAAAAAATTGAACAAATATTTTCATTCCGAAGTAAATCATAAAATGAATTGTTATATTTTCTTATTGGCTGTGTAGACTTTGGGTCCCGTTTGATTGAAGGATTCTTTTCGTAGTGAAAAAAAGATATAAATAAAAAGAATTTAAATTAGAAATTTAAGACTAAATAAATGATACCCAATTTTATTGAACAATTTTTCACCATAAAATGGTGAATTAGTCACATCAATTAATCCAAATTCGGATTAATTTGGGTTAATTGAATAACCCCTTACGATGATAGTCTTAGCACCCTCAAAGTTGTTGGTTCAACTCTGTTTTTTCTTTTTGATTCATGTCAGTTCGTTGTTATAATTACGATTGCATAATCAAAAACTTTTTTTATTACCGGAAGTTCTTTTTTTCTGATTTGTTGGTTGTAAATAAGTTAATCTTTAAATTGTAAGAGTCGAATGTGATTTCTTTGGTTTCTCTCTTTTTTCTTTTCTATTATTTTTAATCTATCATGATTTCGATATCGTAGAAAACATTGATCGACTAAAAATATCGTTACGATTGAATGTAAATTAAAACTCAAACACTTAGAAATACTTTTCGGTGTTATCGATCCCAATGCTTACGTATTTTCTAGTTTAATGCGAATTACTTCGACTTGGTTAGTGACTAACTTTCAAAACACTATTGATTCTGACGCGATTCATGTAATCTCAACGATTCCAAAAATATTCTTATGCGTCAGAATCAGCTACAGGGATTAATGTTTTTCCTTTATTTTCTTTTTTTATATTTTTTTTTCTCAATCATATGATATACAAATCGGACGTCACTGAGAGTTCACCCTGCTGACTCGAACGATCAACAAGAATCGTAATCAAATTGATTCATTTTAAAATAATATTTATCGCGTTCTTGATTATTATGATTGTAGCATTGGATTAACAGGTGCGAATGAAAATGAATCATAAAAAAAATAAAAAAGTTTTTTTACCGTTCGATGATTGCTTGCAGGACGCTGTATTTGCGGCCAACACGCCAAGCGCGACAGCCAATGCGATGCATAAGAGGACACCGGACACTGCGATTACCGTTAATCCACGTTCCAAAGTCGATCGTCTCTTCCACCATGTTGGATTTCTGAAAACAAATATCAAGGTAAAGAAATATCAAATGTTTATGCAGAAACGCTTTTAGGTATACTTTTTATCAGCTAAAACCAAGGGCTCTTGTTCAATCAAGAGATCCCGTTTAGGGTAAACGATGAAAAATTTTAAAACAAAATTATACAAAGTTTTATTTAAAAAGAAAAGAATTTCTTGATAAAATGACGAACAAATCCAATTAACCTAATCTTGAATTAATTAGGTAGGTTTTCATTATTAGTTCAAGGTTCTCAAAGTTTGGGTATCCATGTTTTTAAACCTGTTCATACGAATTGTTCATAAAAATTGTCTTTAGGTTTGTATTATGCGTTTGTTTTCTAACAATTTATTTTAAACTATGAATGTACAAGAATGACTATTTAAAATTATAATGAACCATAATTAGAATGGAACGTGCAATGAACATGCGATGGTCATTTTTTTTTCTTGTGTTTGTTGCACAATGCCATTCCTATTAAACTGATAAGAGTATGAATTGTCTTTTGCTCATGTTTAATGAGGAATTACGGATTATGCAAAAATTCAAGTGTTTTCCCATTCAAATTCTTGTCGTTAAATGAAAAAATATCAACGGTAAAGGATTGAGACATTTCCTTCTTGCGCATTCACTTTTTTATAATTCTTTTCGATTGAACGATTTCTAGTAGCAAAAGGAAGTCGATAATATTTTTTTTCGTTTAAATTCAATTAGGTGTGTCTCTGACGAATTAGAAAGAAACAAGGAATGGGACGATGGTTCTTGCCAGTTTTATCGACGAGATTAGGAAAGATTTGAAAGCTAGTTTCACACATGTACGTGTGTTTGTATGTGTGTGTGATTAAAGTTGAACCGTTGTTCGAGATAGGTAAAGAATAGATCGTTAAATTACACATATATACACATACTGTGAAACATTTTGTACGGAAATTAAAGGAGAGAAGAAAAAAGTGTCGTCTGTGCGGTTTCGCTTTTCTCCACGCTAAAAAAAATAATTGCGATAAAGCACGTAAGTACTTAAACTTACTGATTCATATGTACACACGTATAAATAATACAATATCGCAATAGTTTCGCGAGTTCTTTTGTTGTATTGTTATCACTGACGTGAGACCTGGTCATTCGATGATAATGAAAAAGGGAGTGTACAATCTAACTGATTAATATTTAAACCTAGGGATAAATAGTTTTCTCTATTTCAATGCTTTTTGTCTACCTACCACAACTTTCATTTTCTTTTCCTGAGAAACTTTCATTTTATTTCTAATCCATTTGCACACGGTTTACGCCCACGAATTTTCACACTTTACAATTTTCATTTTATCTCGATGATCAATTATCCATTAAGAGATGATAAAGATTTTTCACATAAAATGAGAGTTTCTAATATTTTACAAAGAAATGTTTTATTTACTTTGCAAATAAAAAAGAATCATTTTTTTATAATATTGTCATTTTTATGCAACAAGTGAACTGGCTATTTTGAAAAATATAAAATAATTATTGGAAACATCTTTGTATTATGACCCAAACGGGTCTCCCCCTCCATCTTTTTCCTTTATGGTGAGTAATAAAATACGAGTTTGAAAATGTGGCTGCATGAAAGGTGCCGTTTGCGATACGGTGCACACTTTCAATCCGGTTTATGTTCGAATGCTTGCTCTGAGACTCGTGCCGTTCACGCACATGAATATATATCTACGTAGTAGTAAAGTACTTAACTTAGGCCAATGCCGAGCATCGCAATAGGAGTCTCATACTCTACGGGACGATGCAACCGAGTGTAATGACCTCTTCGATGCAATATGCGTTGCCACAACATTTCGGATACGCATACAAATATTTATCATTAATCTTCGCAATTCAAAATCAGAATATCAAGTAGAACACAGATTTGAATTTTAACCATTATTATTTTAAAGATTAAATAAGTAACTTATAAAATTTGCTTACAATAAAATGAACAAATTTCAATGAAATATTTGAAAATATGATGAAAGATTGAGAACCAAATTGATCGTAATCAATTGAGAACTTTAATACTGTTCAATTAATTTATTGCACAATAATTATAGTATTTCCTTCGGTTAAGATTTATGATATTTATGTTATGAGTTGGATAAATGATTGAAAATATTAATCCACCGAACACGTAATTTAATTGGATATTTTATTCGGTGGAAACTTGTACGGATAAATGGCGGGGACCACGCCACGGTTGGATAATTGGGAGAAAGTGTTATTTTATTTCCCGATTGGCGCAAGTCGTTAAGAAAAACCTTAAATTCCATTGGACGTTAAATCGATATTGATTGGATCTTTACTGGTCATCGTTCGCGTGGTAAAGAAACATTTTATTCGTAATCGAACTTCGTTAGAGAATCTTAAGAATGCAACAGGTTCCTTGTCCTCGGTGCAAAATTAATTTCAATTTATTTTCGACTTTCTGCAGACATTTTTTTTTTTTTTAGTTTTTTCTCATATTTCTGCGACCACATATAGGGTCAGTAGTCACGTAACATGTAACTTCGTACAACTACCAATTAAATTTAATTAAAATAAATAATTAATATGTAAAAGTTGTATTATTTATGTGATAAATCATTGGGTGTTGCATAAATTCAGTATCACGTATGATGTTTAATATTCTTATTTGATAGATTGCAGTCAAACAAAATTAAAATAAAATAAATAACTAACATGTAATGTTTACTTAAACGTTTATTATTCGAATGGTAATAGAAAATAATTATAGCCGTTGGACAAATTAAATCGATGATTTAACAATCGATATAGCAATTTCCATAAAGATTATGTTAGATAACGATCCGATTTTTTACTTCGTTTTATGACCATAACGAGATTTATCGATGAAGATGCGATATTCCTCGTATTTCCTAGTCGTTGTATGAAGCAAGCAGAATTAGGTTCCTGTTCGATCTCGAATTTGTCGCACCAGTGATCAGAAAATCTAATTTACGCTCGTGATATGGCAAACGAGATCGATCATCATACGAGAAATGATGAACTTTTAAAGATTTTGTTAACAACTAAATTTAATTCCAACAGGTTTTCAAAATAAATCTATTCTTTACTAAAATACTTTATTACACGAACGGTAAAATGATTGGTTAAAGATTTTCAATACAAATTTTCTATTCAATACTATTTTATTATATAGAAAAATTATTTTTATTTATTAATTAATTTGATATTGAATTTATCATTAAGTAAATATCAGTTGTAATATAAAAAATCGAACGAATTTTCTTGTGATAAATTAGTGGATTATAAAATTGATTTCTAATGATAAATAAAAAAAAAGAAAATAAATTAAACAGATCTCGAAGTTTTTCACGTCATACTTGTGTATTTAATTCGTAGAAATCGTTGCTATAGTTGTTTCTCGTATTAGTAATCGAGTCTCGTTCGACATCGGCACGGTAACCTTTTGACAAGACAACTTGGCTGGCAAAGCCTTGAATCGGAACGGTCGATCGTTTAACATACTTTTCATGGGGGAAAAAAAAGGAAAAAAAGGGGAAGGGATGGTGGTTAGAGGGGGCGGGGGTAAAAACAAACTAAGAAAGACGAATCCAACACGATCGATCGATCGAACGGTTGAACGGTCGATCGTGTGAGCACGTCGAGTACTACATACTCTAAAAAAGGATGCAGACTGCATGTTAACACTAAACGCACCTACAAAAAACCTGTAACGAGCGACCGGTTTTTAATTTTTAATTAAAATTCTGCACCCAATGTTACTACTTATCGTTCATTTAATTTTTTACAATTATTATTTTATTTATTATTTCAAACGAGTATATCTAATTACAACCATTATTATCAACAATTGATCGTAAAAGAAAATATAATATAAATTTGTTTAAAGTAACAGTAACGGTAATAATTGTTATATTTAAATAATATTTAAATTGGATAAAATTAAATATAAATTTTTCTTATTGAAATGACTCAATCCAGTCATTTTGATGAAATCATCATTCCTTCCTCTATTCGTATCGTTTTTCTTCGTTTAAATTTATATCTTTTTCTTTATCTTCAATAACCTTCAACATTACACATGCTATTGTCTTCGTCTTCTTGATTTTCATTTTTCACCTTCCCTCATCTCTTTTATGGTTCCTCACGCGACATACAGTGGGTAGTTGATAACCGTACATCTTCTCATTTCCGCAAATTACTAAGATCACGGAAGACGAATTAATTTGCTCGCTTGTGAATTTTATATGACAATTATCAAATCATATTATCACGCGGCTATAAATTCACATCAAGGTCAATAATATTTCCTTATGATTCTCTTATTCTTCGTGTTATTCACAATTTCCAATTAAAATCTTTTACTTCAATTTAAGAAAATTTTCAAAATTCTAATAAAAAAACAGACAGAATATGTGTCTTATGTAGGAAGAAATTTTTCCTCGATTCATTAGTAAATACAAGTAGAATTTAAAAACGTCATTGATTAAAAAAAAAAAAAAAAACGTAAAGTTTGTACGCATCAGGGTAAAGTAATAGAATAAAGACGAAAAGACCTTGGTTAACATCAAAATTTATTCCTATCTCTAGGCCAGTCACTTTGATGAGAGACAAATGCGATCCGACTACAAACGATTGGAAAGGTGCTCTGAAGAATACGAACAACTCGTTCCTGGTTCGTAGGTTTGTAAACTTAAAAGCTTATTGTTGCATATATATAACATGGATAGAGGAAATAAATTACGTATGATGTGGGTTTCCCCTTCTCCACTCGGTTCAATTTCTCTTACAATATATGTCTCGTGTCCCTTATTCTCGAATCCTATTTTAAATACACATGTGTGTATGTGTGTTTGTATGTATGTGTGGATAAATTTAAGTGTTAGTAATTTTGTATGGAAGTTTGTCGTTGTATTCTATACGTTTACAGGTATACATTTGAATCAAAACGTTTCTGTACTCTTTGACGATCCTCACACAAATAAACACGC